AAAAAAAAAAAAAAAAAAAAAAAAGAGCAAAATGGAGCTGAAAAACAAAATGCAATTGAGAACACAATGGAAGAGATTTGCTTGGAGAGGACTCTGGTGAAAAATTCGGAAGGGCAAAAGGGTAATTGCAGAAGTATGACAATGGAAAGGACAGTTATGAAGTTATTTTGTTAGATCCATAATTTGCTTCACTCTGATTTGTCATTTGTAATGGCTTCCTATGTGTTGGTTTCTACCAAGCAGAGCTGCTAACACTTCAAAGTGTTATACTGGGCTCTAATGTTCTGTGAGGTTTTGTTAGTCCCGCAGTAATTTTCTAAAGCATTTTTGGGATGTTGTGATTGTTACCTATGACTGAAATTATACTCTGTAGTTCCTAAGAATGTGTTATTAGAAATAATATATCTTAATTAACACTCTGTAATCAATGTTTTTCTTAATAGAATGGTTTAATGAGAGTGATTTTGAGAAATGTTTTCCTGCGTGCTCACATCATTTCTGGTCAAAGTGCAGTGCAATGAATAGACACTGCCTAAGGGCATTGGTTCCAGTTTACTATTTTCTCACTGGTAAAGACATATTGAGGTGAGAGTATGTCACTTAAACATGGGACTGGTAAATATGACACACAACCTGCAATAGATCCGTGACCATCTGGAGCAGCAGCTGAGCCCTTGGCAGGATACCCCAGAGCATGCAAAATGCACAAGTTGCCTGTGCTTAGCAGTCCTATCCTATATATTAGATTTCTACTGCAAGAAAACTTAAAAGCTAAACAGACTTAGTTAGGGTTGTGACAGACAGTAATCCTAGACTCAGAGGTGACCTAGGAAATATAAACTACATGTTGTAAGTGGGGGTACCTGGAGACCTGCAAAGAAAGAAGCATTGAAACGATGCAACTAAAACAACCACTAGGAAGATGTAAGACAGTAGGGGGCTTAATTTATCTTATTTTCCATTGATTGCTTTTCCTACTTCTCTATTCTTCATGGGCAAGCAATTCACCCCTTTCAAGTGAGCGACATTTTTTCTGACTTGTCCTGCCATTCATTATTTCACAAAAAGAAATGTATTAATTGCTCTACGCTGTAATGCATTCCCTCATTGTGTATCAAGTGTAAGGGAAAATATTGCAGTTGGTATCTGACATGTGGAACTAATTTGCCTCTGTTGGAGTTCAGGGAGAGGTCTTGGCTATTACTGTGGAAGAAAACATTATGAATTATAGGCACCTCACTTCATGATACTTCATTTGTAGTTTCCATTTGTGATGATATACTGTGAATAAAATATGGGGATGATATCTGGCCCCATTGCGATCAGTGTGTAAGGGGGGTTCTCTTAACTTCAGCTAGGCCATGACCCTGGGAATATCTGATGGCTCCTGGTTAAGGATTTGTTCTATTCATGCCCCAAACTAGACCTCCTCTGAGGACTTAGTTTTTAATATTACTACCAAATCTGCTTCTTAGGTAGTAATTCTCTCTTATTGAAGTTTATTTGTTCTTGATTTGGGGGATCCTATGCTCAGAGGAAAATACATTTCTATATCTGTGTTTTTCTATACTTAAATATGATGGTGTTTTAGAGGTAATTGTAGACCAACACTCAGCAAGTAATATATGATAAAAAGAGAGAAAGGATTTCAGAATTATTTCCCAGAAGATAGGGTGGCAATCCAGCAGGTAAATACAGTACAAATGAGACTGAACTCTGAAAGGAAACAATAGATAATTTAATAGCTCTTTAATATCACCAGTATCTGCGATCATAAACTCTTCTCATGAGTGTATGGTTGCTTTTTCTTTGCTAACTGTTGATTTGATAAGCTTTTTTTTTTACTCCACGAATAGAAATGGTTAGTAAGGATTAATTTTTTGGTTTAGTAACTGACTGTCTCACACTACTATTGTTGGAACATGAATCATCTACAGGTAATTCACACCTTACAAAACATTCATACTTTCTTCATAGTGTCACTCTTCTGAGTTGTTAGAGCTAACGCTGTACACATGTATATTAAAATAATGAAGTAAAAAATTAATCTTGCTAGTTTCTATTACTTTTTCATCAACATGCATCATTGTTAAGACTTTACTTTTTTAATTAACTTGACAAAACATACCACTTATTCAACTGGAAGAATACCAAGAACAAGACCCCAGTGTTCTCAACACAGTTGTCCTGGATTTTCAAAGTGTTTGAAGCACCCTGGAGGTAGATGATTTTAAACTAATTTGTAAAGGATCCAATATAAATAGATCTATTTTTATACAGGATTTCATACTGATAAGAATGTACAATTGGGATGGGGGGGGAGCAAAAAGATTTGGTGCAGTTTGCAACTTGAAGAACATAATACATTTGACTCCTCTTTCTGTATAACACAAAGAGTTCATATGTTGCACAATGTTCATTTTTAATTAAACATTTTATCATTGCACAGCCTTTTATTGACATTCCTCATAATAGAGCTGATAAGATCTTGACCTGCTCTTCAATAAAGCAATGTATAACTCAATATTCTGGCACACACTGTTCCCTTTAGAATTGAACCCATTATTTTCTGATTTAATTTAAAAATTTCATGTACTTTTATTCACACTTATTTACTTTATCTTCTCAGATTTATGCTCTTGTTCAAATTGTGAGATTTGGCTGCAACTGTTTCTTGGACTATTACTTTTTGTTTGATCTTCTAGCTAGCTGAACATTTTACATTGTATTGAGTTTTTCCTCCTTTCCATCTTTTAAAAATTTGCTATAAAAAGTGATTTATCATGTAATCTTGTTTCCTACTGTACCTATTAATTCCAGTTGTGATTAGTAGCGCTAACTTCACTCATGATTGCCTTAATCATATGGATAGAGTTTCTGCTATCACAGGAACTCTTTCAGGTAGTAAATGAGAATAGATCTCTGAAGATATTCCCAAAGATGAATTTCACATTCGATCCCTGTCAGTAACCTTACAGAACCCTGTGATAAAGCTGCCCAGGATTGTCTTTAGCAGTACTGATATAACATCCCTGTAGCTTGGTAGGGTTTCCTCACCTCCAGCTGTGGCAAGGAAGTGGGAGCTGATTCCTTCATTTGCCAATGGCTGATGTGGCGCCTGCTGACCCATGAGGCAGCTGGAGACAGATCAGAAGTTGGCCAAAGGACAGAGTGTGGAGGAAATAAGCACACAGTTCTTTTCCAGTGTCTGCTGCCTCTGACAGTAAGTTTATCATGTCACAAGCTATAGTATTCCACTGCATTTAGTAATCGAGATGATCCCCTTATGAAATGAGCATCCACCACACTCACCTAAATAGGATTTCCATGTAGAAGATGCAACATCTGTCTGCTCGCTGACTATCAGGTGTTGCAGGACCCATTTTCTCAGTAATCTCCTAACCTCTTGCAGTATCTGCTCTCTCAGGTGATAACCACTCAACTACCCTACACTTTTTCATACTTCAGAAAACCTTCACTAGATATTTGTTGTTTGTCCTTGTCTTTGTATTCCTGATCTATCACTGTTAGCTATAAATGTATATTGATTTTGGCTGAAAATTCTGAGATAATTTAATGAACTAATTTGAAAATACTTTAGGTAGTAAATCACAGACAAGGCAGAAATGCCTTCCACTTTTGAAGGTTTTTTTTGGTTGTTTTCTTCTCCCCCCCCCTCCCCCCCAAGCTGGAGAACATTAACATTAACTACTGAAGATACATTCCTTACACTCTCCCAGATTTTCAGTCTCACTTTGTCATCATAGCAGAAATTAAAAATCATATCGGGCATCTGAGTGTGCCACAATGGGAATACTGCAAAATTAGACCTCTCAACATTTTTTATTGTCAGCAAGTCTCAGATCCTTAAGGATCTAAGTAAATATTAAAGGCTAGAATTAACTAAACTTAGATTTCTGATTTTGAACTGATTTTTTTTTTTTCTTTTGAAATGTGTTGCTCTCCCGAAACGAAGTAGCCCTCCAGGAAATGTACTGCCCTGTTACTGGAAGTTCAGTGATATGTATTCAGATATTCACATTCTTTGATTGTTGGGACACAGAAGAATTGGAGAGCTTGGAAAGTATGGAAGTGGAAAAAAAAAAAAACAAACACAAAAAAAAAACAGCATTGTGATTTGGGCTATCTTCTTTTTGTTTAGCAAAAAGGAGTATATTAATAGTACGTGCAGCAGATTTGTGACTAGCTACTTAAACAAGCTGGAGAACACTGTCAAGGGAAACACAATCAAGGTGTGCCTGGGGTACCCAAGAAGTTGTCAGCACAGGTTCCAGAAGCCATGTCTCATCATTCCTGCCACTTCCATCTATGTTTGCTAGATTAAGATAAATGAATTAAATGCCAACAGAAGCTTATGCCTTTGTTTGCTGTGCAAGCATATGATTGATGCACTGAAGGTTCAGGGCCTCACAATATGCAACAGAGGAGATGGAAAGATACCTGAAGAAGTGAGAAAGCTAATAAAGTTGTGTCATCACATCCCTGAAATTGCACATGCTAAGCAGGAAAGAGTCATACAAAGCTGCCTCTACGTTAGAAATACTGGATATCACTTCT